AAGGTTTTTTCTTAACAGCGGTCGTTCCTCGGCAGGCAATGGCAAACCTCCGAGCGTATTTCTACCATGAAAAACAGTTTCTCATAAAAATACAATCGCCGTTCGGAGTCGGCGTAAAACTGTAGGTCCCTCCGCTTTGTGTGACAACATCAAGGCGCACGCCACAAGTCGGAGGAGAAGCTAGGCCAAACACTAACATATGTGTAAGCGCCAATCTATTATTATTATAATTAAGGGTTGCGCTTCTAACAGGCATCATTTGACATCCCCCCGGAGGTATTGAACAGAAAAAAAGAAGTTAGTCGATTTTTTTTTTGAATCGGTCTAATACGTACATATGTATGTACATATCCATGTATCTACATATGTATATCTTTTGATGGAAGTAAAAAAACTTGTTTGCCCCTGAATCGTTCCCTTATTTTGCATTTACCGGGGAAAAAATTAAAGCAATGGGATGATTCTTCTTTCGAACGAACGCAAAATCTTTTTACTTCGTAATAATATATAGCGACAATTTGGCAGCACCAAGTTTCGTGGTACTTTGCGTCTTATTAATTATTAACAAAAACCATAAGGTTGCTAGAAGAAGAGGTGTAGGTTTCGAAATTAGAGGGTGTCCTATTCTTCCTCCCGACACCACACTTTTTTTTTTTAGTTTACCGTCCGTATTCTAAAATTTCTCCAAATATGGCTCGCTTCAATTGCATTAATCTAGTAGAATGTACGTTTGTAAAGTCTAATTGATTATTCCACGTGAACAGCACATCCAACAACTGACTATTATAAATTAAGTTTGTGCCAAAACTAAAATTCCTTTTACTACTTATTTTTCAGGTATAATATGCCGCTGAAAAATGTCAACATAATGCCATACAAATTTCTTAAATTATATACTGAAAAATGGAAACAATATCCAAGATTTCCCTGATATTGGTTCTATTCCTAATTTTTGCAAGTGTTTTTACTGTGGATGTATATGCAGTCACGCTGGCTGCAAATGTAGATGGGAATGCCTATAAGACCGTCGTCGACAGTGTTGCGAACGCCGCCTCCGTAGCTTTAGTCGCAGACGAATCACCATTAGTTAGCTCAGAAGCAGCACAACAACAAAGTGGAGCGCCAGTAAAATCGAAAGCGTCACCAGCAAGTAGCGCAACTTTCGACGCTGTACGAAATAATTTCCTAAAGCAAAACCAACAGCTAACAGATGAGCCCTCAGCATTGACCTCAGCGGCATTTTCGGTCAATCGGCAGCAACAAGCCTCATGCATATCAACATTTGCAAAAGAAGAGCCACCGCGACAACCGCCACAGAAGAAGTATGAACATGAAATCTCCGTGCTGGGTTATAAAATTCAAATACCTTCATTCGTAATAGACGGTATGAGTTCCGTGCCAACTGGTGCGGAAGTAAATGCCGGCGGAGCTGTTGGTGCAGATGCAGACACCATATTTGAATGGATTGGCGACAGTGGCAGTTCTGATGATGCGAACATTTTCAAGCTCTTCTGCGAGAACACCACCATCAGTAATGTAAATGCGGAACTGCGTTCCAAAATGTATATCAATTATGGTTACATAATCCTGCAGCATTGCTATGTCAACGAGGATGCGTCGTCATTGCAATTGCAACAGTACGAAAGTGTGCGAAACTTCAAGTGGTCGTATAGCAATGTGCATGACCAACAATTGGAAACGCTTTTTTCGAGTCATAAATCGAATTTCGAGAATTTAGAATCCCTTGATTTGACGGCTAATCAACTGGATTGCTCCCATTGGGCTCAACCGCAGACGGTGCGCCGTTTGCTTATGTTGAAGCTAACGCGCAACGCTATAGGCACACAGAGCTGTGCACTCTCCGAATTCCAGCACATGAATCACTTGATCGAGCTGCGATTGGACGACAATCGCATACATGAGTTGAGTCAGCAGTTCTTGGGCCACCTCAGCGAATTAAAAGGGTTGAATTTAACTCGCAATATGCTGAGCAATTTGACACGCAACACTTTCAACGGAGCATTAAAGCTGCAGCGACTCTATATTGCGCACAATCGTTTAAGGACATTGCCCTTCCAGCTATTCCAAAGCATGCGCGATCTACAAACGCTCGATCTGTCTAATAACCGTTTGTTTTACTTCTCAGATAATTTCTTCGCGTTGAATGGGGAACTGCGCGAGATGTATCTGCAAAACAATGCCATGGAGACTATTGGCAAGAACACATTTCACAATTTGCAAAAGTTACGCTACCTGGACGTATCCGAAAACAATATAAGCAGCATAGATCGCAAAGCATTCGAATCACTTTCAAACCTCTTTATGTTGAACATGTCGATGAATAGCATTACCACAGTTTCCTCCATACTCTTTCATCCGCTTCATAATCTCCAGCAGCTCGATTTGAGTCACAACAAATTCACCCAGCTGCCGAGCGGCGTATTTATGTCCCAACGCGCCTTACTTTTGTTGCGCATTGACTCAACGCCGCTAGAGAAGATCGGTAATTTCATTTCGCGTAACAATGATTACGTTGATCCGAAGGTGCTGGCAAATTTGCGCATTCTTTCTATACAGCACAACAAGCAATTGACACAGCTTACTCGTACCCTCTTTCGCAATACGCCCAATCTGCACGAGCTCCTTCTGGCTGGAAATGCTTTGCAGCATTTACCCGCAGAGATAGGGCAACTTAGTCAATTGCAGCGTTTAAATGTGCGCGATAACAAGCTCGTCTATATACCGGAGAGTGTGCAGTATTTGCCGAGACTACGTTTCATACACATTCGATACAACGATTACATATGCGATTGTCGCATGTACTGGTTGGGCGAGTGGCTGAGCAATAGCAGTTCAACGTTGCGTCGTCTGCGTGCCGTTCACATTGGCAGCTTGTACGAGGGACCCGTCATGCTGGCGGACGTGTCGTCAGTGGACACAGGCGATGACATAGATGAGCTTATTGATTCACTTACTTGTCACCATGGCCATCCGGGCGACATGGTGAATGTACTGCAGCATCTGCATTGCTTGAAGCCGGTCATAATGGAGTCGTCTGAGTCGAAAATGCACAAACTACACTCGACGGCAAAACTGGAATGCATGTTTTCGGGCAGTCCCGCTCCAGACGTCATTTGGGTAACGCCTACAAATAAGATTTTACGCCACCACGCGGATCCGGACAAGCGACCTGTCATCATCAATCACAACGAAAACATAATCGGACATTTGCCACTAACATCGCTTATTATGGACGATAACAACATGCTAAACGTCAGTCTGCAGGCCAGTGACGTTATGAATCGGGTGACATTGATCGAGAACGGTACACTGTTGGTACACAATATTTCGCGAAGCGATAGCGGACTCTACAGTTGTTATGCATACAACATTATGGGAAATGCGTCGGCGTTTATGAGGTGGGTGTATACGATTGTACGTTATGTATGTATGTATAGATATATAGTAGATTTTGATTTGAATTAAATTATATAAAATAACACTGGTTTACTACAGAAAAAATGTTCTATGGATGCTACTATCCAATTCCTATGTTGTTGTTGTTGTTGTAGCGGCTACAACAATCCCGCCCAGGTCGGTTGGTATCGCAGTCGTTGTCGTCAAGTTCCACTAACGGCAGCCCTAGGAAGCGTGCAGCTTCTATTGGCTTGGTCCACAAGGACAAAGCCGTTAGGGTTGTCGGGTTTTCCGGGCATGCGAAGAGATGTTTCGAGTCATGTGGGGTCTCTCCGCATGCCGGACACTCATTTGGCACATCCTCATTCATTCTACTCAGGTAGGAGTTTAACCTGCGGCAGTAGCCAGAGCGAAGTTGGGCTATTGTCGTTCGTGTCTCCCGAGGCAGATGAAGCTCCGTCCCGTCTATGTCTGGGGGCGGTATGCCTAGAACGGCATTCACAGGTCTAGAGTCTACATAACTCGAGACTGATTCCCTGTGAATGCCGTTAAGGGCCAGTCGGTAAGCTGACGGGTCCAGAGGTTGCTTGAGGAACCATGAATTCCTATGTAGAATTGCTCGGTGATTTCGAAAATCGACATATTTTTAATTCTGTATGGATAACTTCTCGAGATATTTGCAATTTACCGTTGTTCAGCTTAAAAAAGTGGTTTCAATTAATCACGTATATCTTACAAACTAATTGAATAATCGTAATACGGAATGAAAGCTAATGAAATTCTCCATATACCGTTTGAACATCACTTTTCGATAGCTCTTGATAGTTTCTGAGAAATTATCTAATCATTTCTGACACCTCTTGCTTTCGATGCAAACCCCCTACTTACTCAGGTGTATGTGGCGTATGAGTAACACTATTTTTCTGCTCATATTTCATAAAAAAAATACTTGCGCATTTTCTTCATTGGTAGCTCTATTTTTTTTAAAGGAACAGGCTTTAACACAAGAGCAAAACATTTAAACATACTGTTATTTTATAAATTTTTTCCCTGTTAAAGTTTGAAGTTTTTCCATTTTTTCACTAAAAAACAAAAAATTTGGAATGACTAATTAATTTCTCAGAAAAGTCTACGGTGATGTATACGCGCTTATGGATAATTTCATTGGCTTTGACTTGCCGGGTTTCGCATTGCAATTGTTCAATTGTTTCGTAAAAGCATAAACAGACGGCAGCGTTGATCCGGATCAACTCGGGAATTAACTGCAGCTGATCCGAATTAAGTCCGAGTTAATCCGGATCAACGTTGCTGTCTGTTTAAGCTTTGAGATATATGTACGTGATTAAGTGGAACCACTCTTTTTTTTTAAGCCGAATAACGGTAAGTTGCAAATATCTCGAAAACGTATCCTTAAAGACAAAAATTAACTCTATTGTCGGAATCAGTGAGCGATTCTACATAAAAATTTGTGATACAGTGAAAAGATCGTGGCGTAAAACGAAGCAGAAATTGAAAATATTAAAGGAAGTTACAATACTGTAGATTGTTTTCGTAAATGTCTCGTCCATCCTATTTCCCTTAAGTAGTTGTTCAGTACCCAGCAATAAATGATTTTTATGCGAAACTATTCCAATTGATGTCTAGCATACTTCGCAAATAATAGAATACTTATTTGGCATATATGTACATATTTTACATATTGTGCGAAATTCCTCACCTGTCCAGGTAAAATTTTGTATGTCAACGATTTCGTTCAAACTCTACTACATTGTTGCTATGGTTACTAGTAAATAATGGTTAAATGGATTTTTTCCTATCGCGGTTTTTTGTCGAGTTATACGAGTTTAAATATGCACGTTTTGCCACTTTTTTTAGAATCACATGTTTTATTAAAGTTCGTATCTCACGTCACACTTATGATTGAGAATCCAAAATTTTTGACCTCTTATAACTCATTCCGTGCTTTTTGGTGGCACCTATAATTTTTTGCTGAGGTCTTTTTTGGGGAAAATTTGACGTTCAAGGTCAAAGTGGTAATATGAGTATATCTCAAAATCTGATGTTTTTTTTAATTTTTACTTGTCTAAACGAAAAGCTTGACTTATTTCCTATAGTATATCAACTGCTGAGTGGAAGATCGACCTGTCTCGGCAGCCAGTTCTGTAAAAACTTTTCAAGATCGCCCTATTTCGGGATTTTATTAAAACCACCCTATCTCAGAATTTGGTTGAAGAACGCCCTATCTCAGAATGCGGTTCGAAAACGCCCTATCTCACTTCAAAATGTATTAAAAATATGCTGATATAGGGCGTTTTTGAAACGAATTCTGAAATAGGGCGTTCTTGAAAAGTTTTTTGAGATAGAGCGTTTTCGAGCTGGCTGCCGAGATAGGTCGATCTTCCTCTCAGCAGGCGATATGTAAATATTAATTTTTGAATTACTGACGTCACAGTGAAAAACTAAAAACGCAATTTTACTTTATTTGGCCTATGGTTTCGCGAATATATTGATTTTTGTGTTTAAAATTTACTATCGCACGGTGTTATATGTATAATGAGCTATACATTTACAAAAACATATTAATTATTAAACAAAAAAAAAAGAAATATAGCCAATACTGGTCAAGAAAAGGAATTATATTAATCAGTCAAATTACAAATCCCGGGATTATTTGCCGAGAATCCCGGGATTTTCGGCACCTAAAATGGCCGGGATCCCGAGCAAAAATGCTATCAAATTGATTTTTCAAATAAACATACGCAAGAAAAGAAAAAATTAAAAAACGAAGGAAATAAACAATTACCACATAAATTAGTACGAAAAAATGCAAAAAAAAAGATATATAAAGGCACCACACTATAAAATCTCAATTTAAAGAGCTAAGAAACAGCACAAAGGATAAAAAGATATGGATACAAACCTGCACGAATTAATACAAAATATGTAGCGTGATTTCCAAGTAAAGCTCACTCTGTATAAAAACTGTTTACTTAGTCTAATTTATTACAGTTGCACCTAGCATCAAGTTTGGAGCTATTACATTTAGCGGGAATTTTAAATCACTTACTGATGATAATTTACCATATATTACAATAAAACTTATCACGAATAAAAGTAATTATCGTTTTTTATAATCTCTACTTTCAGCGGTATAGTAGTACAGCACATACATACATGTCGTCGTTTAAAGTGCAAAACCGCGTATCAACAAAATGCAAAACCGCGTATCAGCAAAATGCCAAACTGCGTATGTGAAGTTGTAGAAATTATTTTCTAGATTGTAAACACACTCATATTTCAAAATGGTTCTCTTTTTTAGAAAGCAATCGCATTTCTGGCTAGTATATTTAAGGACGAATGGATATGGATTGAGCCAAGAGCTTGTGTGAGTAAATCCAATTTTTGGCAGCCAATGTCAGTTACGCGGTTTTGCAGGATGACGATACGCGGTTTTGTACTTTAAACGACGATATGTACATGGCGCAGCGCGGAGCACGCGCGGTTGTTTGAAGTTTATTTTCTCTAAAACTACACAAGATCCCACTCTCACATTTACATATGTAGTGGTAAGCAGTGCGCGCTTCCACTCCACAATGCCTGGGTTCAAACCCTGGTCAAAGCAACATCGCAAAAATATAGAAAAAAGGTTTTTTCTTAACAGCGGTCGTCCCTCGGCAGGCAATGGCAAACCTCCGAGTGTATTTCTGCCATGAAAAACAGCTTCTCATAAAAATACAATCGCCGTTCGGAGTCGGCGTAAAACTGTAGGTCCCTCCGCTTTGTGTGACAACATCAAGGCGCACGCCACAAATCGGAGGAGAAGCTCGGCCAAACACTAACATATGTGTAAGCGCCAATCTATTATTATTATTATTATTATAGGAAATAAGTCAATATTTCCGTTTAGACAGGTAAAAATTTAAAAAATGATCCGGTTTTGAGATTAATCGGATAGGTGTTTTTGTCCTCAAACTCAGTGTTTGTTTTAGGCTACACATATGTCCGTACGTCGGCTTTTATTTGTGTAGAGGACCTTAAAAAGGCAATGTAAATGTACTATACCAATTAAGTATGCAGTTTAAATATGTCCTAACGGGTTTCACATATCTTTAATTTTAAATAGCTTTTCTTTAGCAACATTCATTCTCATAACTTTATTTGTTTGACTAATGAAAGGATGCTTTCTTGCAATTCTGCCACGAAAATTATTTGTTAAAGAACATTTCTAATGCTATTTTCGCAAAGTATCTTCTTCTTTTGCTGTTTTAAAAGGATGTTCCTTAATACTTCCAAAATTCAGCTTAATAGTTTTGCTCTGGTATTAAAAAAGGTAATTTTTTAACTGACTTCCAAAAAAGGAGGAGGTTATCAGTTCGTCGGAATATTTTGTTTGTTTTATTTTTATTTTTTTTTTATGTATGTTACCGCATAACTTTGGACCACGTCAACCGATTTCGATAATTTCATCGGAAAGGTAGTGTCTCAGAGGTGGTCCCATACTAATCTGGTTAAGATCCGATCAGTGGATCATGAGATATATATATATATATTTTTTTATATGAGAGTTGAAGTCGAGTTTTTTTTTTGCTAAAAATTACTTGTTACATATTATAATAGTGAATGACTAGGATTGTATACATAGCATTTTTAAAAACATTTCATTGATTTCTTATTTACATTTATATACATCTTACAGAATTTATATAGACCCAATCGTCTTCTATCGTGTTAAAATTGAGAGCCTGCTCTCAGGCATCGCCGCTGCCACCACATTTCTTCTGCTGACACTGATAGTGCAAGGGCTTCGCTCGCTTTGCGCCAAGTAAGTTCTTCATATAATTACATATATTTTCTATCACTGGAATTTTAAATTTGGCGCTTCTTTTCCATTAACACTCACTGTAGATGTGGTATTTTCGATAAATTTTACTGCTGCGTACGCAACAAGCAATCACCCAGGGCACGACAAATTTATGCTATGCTCGACAGCATTGAAAGTTATAAAAGCCAGCAATTAGAACGACTACGCGAGAACTATGCACAACAAGTAAATCTAAATGAAGAATTTTTAATTAAACAAAGTGTAATGAATTTCTTCGATTATTCCTTGTATCGCTTCGTAGGTGCATCGTATTCGGGAGAATTGCGTACAACAAGTTGAATGGATACAAAGCAGTTATACCTCTCAAGCCAAATATTTGAAAGAATTTAGAGACATGGGCTCCACTCATTTAACATCACTAAAAGATCAATACTACGATCAAGTTAGTTGAGCATTGGGTGTTTTAGAATTTAAGATGTTATTCTTGTAATTTGGTTTTGTTCGCAGGTGAAAAAGGTTCGTGATTATTCTACGGGACAATTGAGTTGGGTGCGCGAGAATTACGTCTTCCAACGTAACAAAATTCGTAAATTCAGTGCGCATCAGGTTTTGCGCTTGCGTGAGGGATACAAATATCAACAACAGACACTAAATAAAGTCTTGGAGAATCTTCCGAGCTTCTATTTTGAAAACTGTCGGGGCCGCTGCGAAGAGGATATAGCGGAAGGTGAGTTTAAATGTTTGTTTCTACGTACGAGGGTACCTTAAAGTAAGCAGTTATTTCAGTAAAATAAAACAAACAATTTTATTTTTAAATATATGTATTTAGCGTCCTTTTATATTATGGTGTATATGCGAAAAAGTGACACTAATGATTCGGAGTCAGTCGCGAAGCGGCTTTTCAATGATACGGTCACAAGATCAATCGAGTAAAAGACTTGAAGCTTTGCGGTATTTTATATGTTGGCCGAATCCAATAAAGCAAGCTATTTGTTTCTCTTGTGTGCTTATTGGGGCCAATTGGAAATGCCAGCTGATGTCAAGGCCTTATCGAACTGGTATTTTTATCTCTTGCCTCCAGCAGCGGGAACAACGTTTCTAATAGATTTACAAATGTTGTATTTTTTATTAACATTTCAACAATAATAAATCGCTTCTGAATTTTGAAAAGTAAAGCTGACATTTTGAGTATATTCTCTTATTGGATCTCTCTTTCTTTTTTCAATATTTCGACACTGATGTTGGGGAATCTACTTTGAATGCATGACTCAATAATTAAAAGCCCGGCTATGCAAGACTAAGACTTGCCTTGACTGACCTAGAAAATTTAGAAACAATTACTCTTCGTGTCATCTATTCCATTTTTCCATTTTTTATCCTCAGCATTTGTATTTGTACGCGCAAAATCTTAAACGTTTAATATGTTTAGGGTAAAATTGAATAAAAATTACAATTGAAATAAATGTATTGAAGCGTATCAAATTGTGATCGCTTTTATTTTGTTTTCTCTTTATTTGAGAAATTATTTTTCGAGATGAGTTGTATTTATACAAAAAATCACATTTGTGTGGCATATTTGGAGGAAGTTTATTAAAAATATGTGAAAAATGATATTGCAGCATGATTATTTGCACTTAGAAATCAAAAATCTATAGATCTCCAAGCTTTTACGTGAAATTATTTGTTTGCGTAACTACATACACGCGCTGCTCATTCGCCAGATATACAATTTTCAAGTCAAGTGTCTTGCATAACTGAGCTTTTAAAGGTTTGCTCACTAGTGACATTCGAGTTTTGACACTCCCTTAAGCTGGACATAGATGACGAACATATGTGCGCACATGCTTACGCACTCGGTGTCCACAGACGACGAACAAATCTAGAGTAGACTGACAACTAATAATTCTGCGGATGACGCCATCGCCCTATTAGTCATTTATACGGCTATAAGATCAAAAAAAACAAAACAAAGAGTGGGTAGACGATTGGCTGCTGGCGTGTGCAATTCATCGGCGCCGGCTCCTGATTTTTAAATATTACGCGTTTTTTCTAACTGCCGTCGGTTGCATGTACGCAGTGCATTAATTATTTTTTTTCACAATTTCAATAGCTGCATTTGGGTTAAATTCTTTATATTTTTCTAATATATTTTCCCAAGCTTTAGCCTTTTTTATTTTATTTTTATATGAATCGCTTTTAATTTGCCATGCGGCTACCTCGTTTTTTATGGCGTCAAAAAATTCTTCCATACACCTCTAATTTGCCGTCGTCATTTTAATACCCACTCTTTCAAAGCTACGACCGAAATGATAAAGTGCGCGAGAATATCGCCACAAACGACTAACATGTTGGCGAACAATCTCTAAAAATCCCACAGACGGTAAACTCACGCCAACTCGTCAGCATGTGCGCACACATGTTCGTCGGCAAATGTCCAGCTTAACAAAAGGATGCACGCCACAATTGGTAACTTTCTACCAAAATTGGTAACTTTTAAACGGTTTGGTAACTTGGTAACTTTTATTTCATTTTGGTAACTTTTGCAACTAAACATCTATTTGCATTACTAGAAAGAAATGAATTATGTTTTGAATGTGCGTAATTATAAAAACCCTTCGAGTTTCAGTGGCAGCACTACTGACACTTTTACAAAATTACTTCGATTAAATTAGAGTCATCTCATATTCGAATACTGGAAATATTTAAATTACAGTGGCAGCACCAAGGCCTGCACTTTTAAAACAACTTTCGAATATTTGCGACAAATTTTGAATTCTACCCTCTTACATATTAATACTGGCCATCTGGCAATTTTTGGTAAGGTCCATAAATCGTTTTGATTATTCCGGTAAAAAAAATGTCGCGTGTTTTTTACCAGACCCATATACCGACATGTATTCGACACCTACCGACATATATTTCGACGTACAGTAGATTATGAAAAACCGAAAAAATAGCAATTTTCGCAATTTACTCGAAATTTTGTACGAGTCAAACGAACGGTTAAAAGCACCCGCCACTTTTTTTGTGTGCCGGTGCTATTATTCCGTGAGTCGCAGGTCCAAGTATCGGCACATTCTGAACGAAAAATTACACTGAAAATGGCACAACGCCGAAACCGGTTTGTCTCCAAACCAAATTTGACAAGGGATGATGGAAAATCGTTCCACATTACATAATACTCCTACCCTGTCGGAAACAACGAAAATGAGAATAACGGCACATGCAGTAATTAATTGATAGAAATATATTTTCTAATAAAAAATATATAATTGTTAATAGCATTTTTAATCTTGATAATTTATCAAGAAAATAGATTTAAACTTCTGTGCTAGAACTGGAAGCTCTTGATAAATAATCAAAAATTGACAAATTATAAAAATATTGAATTTATTAAGTGCACATAACCGGGCTGTAAGTATATACATTTTTGTTATGAAATATAGCAGTGTTATTCAGTATATTTTTTTCTCACTGAAGAAGTGAAGACTTTGGTAGTTAAGATTTGGTAACTTCTGGTAACTTTTCTTAAGAGATTTTGGTAGAAAAAAATGTTGGGGAGTGGCAACCATGGTTGCACGCACACGTGCACCCACACACAGGGCCTTGCTAAGAGAGCCGATTTTGTCAAGAAGGAGCGAGAAAACTCTTTTCTGAGCAAACTTTTTATTATTGAATCATGCTTTGAATGTACTGGTAAGTATCTAATCGAACACGACCGGTCTACACGACCATTCCCATCGACATCGTAATGTTTTAAAGTCTTAAATTTTTTCAACGTAACATAACGGTTAAAATGGTTTTAGAAGATTTTCAACTACACCGAAATTATTTTAAACTGATAGAAAATATATAATCAGAGGGGAGATTCCGTAACCAATTAGTTTTACGACACATCTCGTACATCACTGTGTTTATCGCGTTTTCGGCCGTGATATAAGCGTCGTACAAAAAAAATGTAGGCACAAAACTTGTGGAGAATGGAATTCCCTGCAACTTTGGAACTTCAATATGCTATGTATTTTCAACAGAAATTGTCAAAAAATTGCGAAAACCGTGACAATGTAAAATTTTTTCGCAGTCTGCTAATTTTTTACAATAAATTTTTATTTTTTTTTCAACTTCTATATAACACATGTGGGAAATTTAATTCTCTGCATATTTGTATTTACCTATTTTTTATGAAAAATGCAAAATAAGCTTGCAAATCGCGAAAAACCAAAAAAAAAATAAAATAAAATCCAAGATGGCGGGAATGTTGCCAAATGAAATTTAGGTGCGAGACTGTGGGTCCATGATCTACGTGTGAAATCGAAATAAACTGCATAAAAAAATCGCTGTTACAATTTTTTTTTTTCAATTTTCCTACCAAATTTATCTAATTTCACTGGCCTAGAAACAGTGAACCACAAGATGCATTTTGAAGTTTTCTGGCACCATTTTCATACGATTTTCGCGAAGAAGTCGTGAATGTACTAAACATGAGTTGATGATTCTATCATTTAAATATGGAACGTTTAAAACCTTCATATTATCAGGAATAAGAGATTTCTACTTGGAGGCCCCACTGCGATGGAAAGATCAGGTGGAGAAGGACTTGGCTTCACTTGGCGTTAGTTGGCACAGAAGAGAAACGACTGGCGTGCTTTGCTGAACTCGGCCAAAATCGCTTAGGCGGTTACAGCGCCAAAAAAGAAGAAGGAGAATCGCTATATTTGGCACGATCCCGGCCGTGATCTAAGCGTCGTACAAAAAAAAATTGGGTGTAAAAGTTGTGAAGAATGAAATTCTCTACAACTTTGGAATTTTAATATGCTAAGTATTTTAAACAGAAATTGTCAAAAAACAATGTTAAATGCAATTGCAAATTTTTTACAATAAAAAATGCTATTTTAAAAAACCTTCTATAACCCAAATGTGGGAAACTAAATTCTCAACATATTTGTATTAAACCATTAAAATGCAAAATAAGCTTGCAAATCGCAAAAAAACCCAAAAAAACTGAAATCCAAGATAGCGGAATGTTGCCAAATGAAATCCATGGATCCATGATTTACGTGTGAAATAGAAGTAAACTGCATAAAAAAAATCGCTGTTACAATTTTTTTTTTTAATTTTCCTACCAAATTTATCTAATTATACTGGGCTAGTAACAGTGAACCACAAGATGCATTTTGAAGTTTTCTGGCACCATTTTCATACGATTTTCGCGAAGAAGTCGTGAATGTACTAAACATGAGTTGATGATTCTATCATTTAAATATGGAACGTTTAAAACCTTCATATTATCAGGAATAAGGGATTTCTACTTGCCCTTTACAACTAAAGGCCGGTATGCAGCTCTCAAGAAAACGGACGAAAAAAAATTGCCATTATTTCGTGTGTGTGTCCAAGGAATTTTGACATCTGCTACTTCACTTCCTGTTGCCTCACTCTTTCCTTAAGAAATAATGGAACGGGCATATATTTCTATTGCAGATATGGGTTGCCTTGTGCTCTTTTTTCACAAAAAAACTTTAGAAAGTCGTACTAGAAAGCGTAGCAAATATCTTAAGAACTGCGTACGCACAGTACGCGGATAGCAGATCTAGCTGGACGAAAGTCAATTTTTTTTATTTGTTTTTAAAATACTTAATGCTACTTGGAATACATTCCTGACAATACATTCAAATAGAAATTGCATTTATTAAAGCATTAACATATGAAAACGAACAAAAAAAGGTAAGT